ATCACACCTCGTATAGATATACTTTTTCACATATCAATTTATTATTGAAACCGACCAAAGCATATCCGTCATTGATTTTAATATAAACATTTATATATCTATATAAACTCCATCGCTTAGCATACAAAAATTTATATTTACATAAAAACGTGCAACAACAAAATGGTTTTAGATACGAAAAAAATACTTATTTATGTACTTACATTGGTTTAATATATTTCGCAAATGCGATTACCGTTACTTACATAAATGATAATTATAGAAAATAAAATTAATCATACATATGCATATGTATACATACATATGCTAGTATATTTGCCTACACACAAAAATTACAAAAGTTATACATATATATTTGTATAAATGTGTGAACAAAAGCATATGAAAAGCTGNTTTGAGTCGATTGAGGAGATTAAACGTGAATCGGCGCGCTCTCTGAAGGCCATACCAGAACGTGACTATTTGACATGCTTCGATAATTGGAAAAAGCGTTGGCATAAGCGCATTGCATCGGCAGAGGACTATATGGAAAGCGACGAATTCGATGTAGAAGAACGAATAAAGATTTACAATTCTACAAACAAATTCACCTTAGTTTTTACCCACAGTAGTTGGTCTGTCACTAACGGCGTGTCTCTTAAGTGAAGTGATTAAGGTTTTAATATTTGATCACATATTAACTCACATTTTGATCTCAAACACACTCAGTACTCTCTAACTTCACACTTTTGGGCATTAATATCAACGCTAGAAGCGAGTAGGAGTATCTTATTTCCTTATTGGCCGAAAGTTATACATATATATTTGTATAAATGTGTGAACAAAAGCATATGAAAAGCTGCACAAATTTCGATTTTATACATATGTACATACCTACATACACATATACTCAAAAATAGACGCATGTCCTTATTGTAGTCATTATAGTTTATGTAATTATGTAAATGAATATATATATATATATATATATATATATATATATATATATGTATGCGCATAGCTATAAACGACACGCAACTAAGGTCACTTTGTAAAAGATAAAAACCTAAGAAACAAGATAAAAGAAAATAGTATATAAAAATAAAAGCAAAGCAGAAAACAAGACAAAAAAATTATAAAATAATGAAGACAAAAACCAAAAATTAATAAAATAAAATTAAAATTAAATTAAAAAAAAAAATTAAAAAAAATAAAAATAAATAGAAAAGGTGAAAAGATAATGAAAATGGTAAAAAAATGTAGAAAAGACACAAAACAAAAACAAAACTAATAAAAAATAGACAAAGAATAACCGCATAAAAATGAAAAAAAAAATGCAAAAGAAAATATTAAAATTGACAAAAAAAAAGAAATACTCGAAAAATACGCACAAAAATTGCCAATATGAAGCAACAAAAACAACAAAGCCAATCTACCTATACCTGTATGTGTGTATGCATGCATATGCTCACAAATGTCTATATAAACATACATACATACGAGCACAAATTTATCTAGGCATTGTAATGTGGCTTAAGTGTCGCCACAAATTCCCAACGTTTAGATGATAAGTGGTTCCACAGCGTTACAACTGCGACAATTGCGTAGCTGCGAGTTAAAACAAGGAAGATAGGAAAATAACGTGTGACAATAAATGGCAATCAATGCACAGTGGTGTGAGATATATACTTTTTGTGGATGGAGCACAGATATCCTTGCTTCGGGCAATTGTTGGACGCATTAGAGACAGTGGAGAGACAATGGAGGAGTAGTGTAATTGGTGAGTGATGTTAGATTTATGAAGAGGGTAAGGTAAGGGCTTTCCCATGGAGACCTGCACGGAGCTTGCGGTGTGCTTTTAGAAATCGCACCGATACTTAACCGAACTGCTCTCCGCTCAGCAGTACTTGGTTAAAGGCATAACAACACAATTGGTCACTATTCTGCTGAAATCATATTATTTAGGAGTTCAATCATTCCTTTGTGACATTCCTCGAAAGCTTATATCTTCGAAGAATTATGCTTCGACCCCAGCTGCATAGCTGTAAGAGTTTCGAAGTAATTATGCATGTAAGTGTGAGATGTGTAAGTTTTTTCCAAACGCGTTTTTTCGAAATTGTCATTGTAACATAAAAACGAATCATCCGATCGACTTGAAACTTTTTTTATCTTATTCAGTATTATTTCAGGTATTCAGCGACCCTCGGTTATTTTTATAAGATGATAATTGTTAATTTGGTAGGGACTTAACACAGATCGATGTATAAGCTAAATTTTAACTTTTTTATTCTTCTTATCTTATTTAATGCATTTTTGTATTTTTAATTTCAGATACCCGGAAGGCAGACAGCAAAATGGAATCATGTTTGTTTGGATCTTTCCGTAATACAGCATATCTCGTTGGAAATGCAAGATTTCTAGTTCAAAAAATGTAAAAAACATTAAAACCTTGATACTGTGAAATATTAAATGATTTTTTTTTTGTATATTTCCAAAAATAACTTTTTTTTGCTGTAACACTAGTTGAGTCCTTTAAGGTATTCCTACTTTTAGCATACTACTGTGGGCAAAAAGTGAGGTGAATTTTTGATTTGAGTTTCGCGCGTTTATAATTTTCGGTTAATTCTTTTTTTATTGTTGGTAATACTGTTATTGACATCTACGCCAAATTTCATGTCAATGTCATCATTAGTATTTTAGTTACGCTTGTGTTTACTAAACGTCTAAAAGTGCCTTCCGCGATTTTTATAATGTCTGATTTAATTACGTGTAAGCAGAGAAGTTCGATCAAAATTTGTTTGTGGAACGAATTTTCGGCTGCTGAACGTTGAGGGTGCTACAGAAAGCTATTGGGGACTCAACTATGTCGCAGAAGAACGTGTATAAGTGTTACAAAGAGGGTCGGAAACGTGTTGATCAGCGCTCGGGACGACCATCAAGGTCAACTGATGTACAACACGTCAATGAAATTATGGAATTATTGCTAAAAAATCGTCGATTGACTGTTAGAGACCTTACTGATATGATTGAAATATCAGAAGGATCTATCAAAATGTTTCCATGTAACGATTCGCAAAAATAGACCAGAATTATTGGCCAACAACTTTTGGTTTTTGCATCACGATAATCCTTTGTCGCACGCAGCACTGATTCTTTGTGACCATTGCGCTAAAAGTTCCACGAATATCGTTCGCCAACCACCCTATTCGCCGGACTTAGCATCATGTGACCTCTGACTCTTCGAAAAACTCATAAGACCACTCAGAGGACACCGTTTTGAGTCGATTGAGGAGATTAAACGTGAATCGGGGCGCTCTCTGAAGGCCATACCAGAACGTGACTATTTGACATGCTTCGATAATTGGAAAAAAGCGTTGGCATAAGCGCATTGCATCGGCAGAGGACTATATGGAAAGCGACGAAATCGATGTAGAAGAACGAATAAAGATTTACAATTCTACAAACAAATTCACCTTGGTTTTTACCCACAGTAGTTGGTCTGTCACTAACGGCGTGTCTCTTAAGTGAAATGATTAAGGTTTTAATATTTGATCTCATATTAACTCAACATATGCTCCATCGGACCGGATGGGTATTTCATTATAATGATTTCGTCACTAGGAAGACATTCTTCGAAAACTGCTAGAGCGATCACGGCTCAGATCAGATCTTAATGACATAAGATTTTACTTCAAAAAGAGTCGTGATGCTATGCTTCTGATTGGATACTGCATAAGAACGTTTTACTTCGAAACTTCTTCCCTATACCCACTGATAAAAGTTTCCAGTTGCTGGATAAGCTTCTCTTGGGTAATGTGAACAGATCTGAGGTGAGTTGCTCTACAAATCGGTTTTAAATTAAAGTAAGCATCACTGCCAGGCGAGTCTTGCGTAAAATTTAACAAATTTTTGTTTGCCTCCAACGACATGAGTTATAAGCTAGGAAGATTTCACCACGCGGACCTTTTCATTGTTTTAATCAAGCTTTGAAGCAGATCTCAACATAATCTCATTTCATTCATGTTAGATCTCAATTAACTTTTTTGGAGGTATAAAACCGCAACGAAATAATTGGTCCTGTAAGAGTTGATAAGGTCCACCCTGATCCTCAGCAATTCACTATATGTGAGTGGAAGTTCTTCTTCCATTCTTCATTCACTCATTCACATTTTGATCTCAAACACACTCAGTACTCTCTAACTTCACACTTTTGAGCATTAATATCATTGCTAGAAGCTAGTAGGAGTATCTTATTTTCTTATTGGCCGAAGAGAACTTATTTAGGACCTTTGGAAAATCAATTTCAAACGGAAGCTAATTTTCTTTAGAACACCTTGGGATATTTAACTTGAAACAATCCCTCTCCCCCGGTGACTCCCTATGAAATCTCTGATCTTGCATTGAATTCTACAGAGCCTTGCGTACTCACTCAAGAGGTATCATAGTCACGCCTCGCGGTAGAGCAGACTTGCGTTAGCCATTCGCTGTTTTTAGCTCAACATAATATACGGGCTGGTTGACTAATGATATGACTATGTACGGGCATTGAGCCTAATGTTTGTGTAATCTGTAGAACTTAGTATGCGTCAAAAGCTGGAGCCTTTAGTGAAGGTAATTGTGTAAGATAGCTGCGGAGAGCTGAAATTATTATTAAATCCTAGACAAATGGTAAAGCAGCTTTTTTTGAGTAAGATAATGTGAACATCTTCTGATACTTCCCTATTAAATTTAGGAGTAGGCAGAGGCCACGCCGACTTAAAAGGTATTCGTAGATCCTGAAGTACATAGGAAACACAGTGAAAGCTCAACTCGGAGTCAGATAGCTGTTGCAAAAAAAATTCTGTCTGCTACTATTTTCGCACTCAATAAACATTTCCTACCATCTAAACCACCATGTCTCACTGTACGCCGCAACACGCTCAGCGTGTAACCTAAACCAGCTGCGGTGAACATCTCAAGGCACACCCTTGCGCTAATATGCGGTTGATAGCCGGCAACAACAAATAAACAAACAACCGACCGAGCCCAATGTTATCTTTAGACCAATGTGCCTAGCTGTGTGATATCAACGCCAGCGCTACTGCTGCGTTGTGTCGATACTCCAGGCGGCGGTAACACAGGTGTAGCTGAGAGCGCGCTGGGTGCCGCTAATATTGACGATGAGCTAAAGCAAACGCCAAGCACGCCTACACTATTGGGCGTTGCCATGGAGGTGCAAGGTGTTTTTGTTAGTGTTGTTGTTGCTGTTGGTGCGTGTATTATTTTGGGCGTAGCTGGCTGGGCCTCTGCTGCTGCTGCCGTCGCTGCCGACGCTGCGGATGCAGGTCGTTGATTAAGAGATTTCGGACCAAACATTTGTTTTTGCAATGTCTTTGTGTGGGCGACATGTGAAGGCGGCAGTAAATTCTTGTCGTTTATGTTAACGGTGTTGTTGTTGTTGTTGTTGTTATGACTGTTGCTGTTGCTGGCATTTATGTAGTTAAAGTGCTGCGTTTGCAATAACAATTGTGGATGTTGGAATTGCTGTTGTTGTTGTTGTTGTTGTTGTTGTTTTTGCTGTTGTGCGACTAATTGCAGTTGTTGCTGGTGGTCCTGCCATTGTTGTTGTTGCTCTTTATGTTGTAAAACTGTCGTCGTTAAATAGGCGGCTGGCAATATTACGGCGCCTCCGTCTCTAGTTTGCTCAGGCGTAGTTAATCTTCTTCCAGTTGCGCCGCAGGTCACCCCGCCATGTCCGTGTCCGTCCGTTGCAGCTGCAACAATATTGTGCTGTGTTGCAAGTTTGCTGGTAGCGTGTATTGCCGCTTGATTAATGCAACTAATTGGATAATTGCTTTGCGGAAATTGCACGCCACCAGTGGCTGGCAGTGCGTCGACGATGAGCTCGTCATCCGCATCGACACGTTGCGCCCGGTTGTCGTCTTCTGCAGGCGGCTGAGGTAGTATCAATTGTTCTTGATGTGTGACTTGCTGTTGTTGTTGTTGTTGTTGTTGTTGTTGTGGTTGCTGCCCCGACTGAAGAAGCTGTAGAGTTGATGTGTTCTGCTTATCTTCCACCGGCGATGTGGCTGGCACGCTGCATGCATCCATTGGAGTTCCCTGTGCGTTTGTTGTTGTCGCTGTCGTTAGCATGCTTGAAGTTGACGATGATGGGGCACAAGTGTTCGCTGTCAACTTTGAGGCAGACAATTTTGTTGCATGCCATAACGGTGTTGCTGTTGCTGTTGCTGTTGTTGCAGTGGCTGCTGTCTTTTTCGCAGTCTCTACATTTAATTCTCCATTTATTTTATTCAAATGTGCATCAGGCTGCAAACTTGTCTGTGGCTCCTTCATACATGCCACACGCAAGTGCCACACATCTTCTTGTCGTTGGAGCTGACAACTTTCTTGCATGGCTAACTGTTCTGCCGTCGCCTGCGTCTCTGTCTCAACAGGCACTTGTAAGTATTCCTCCCTCGCCGCATACTCTGTGGCATTCAACAATGTTGTTGCAAGTTGGTTGTGGTCTTCATTGTTAATTATATCTGGCATTCGATTAACTGCCACCTCACTGTCACATTGCGCCACCAACTCGCCTACAACATCTCCCTGCTGCACTTGTCTCTCTCCCGCCAACGGAGTGTCCATTGTTGCAAGAAACTCTTGACTCAAACGTTCCAACACGCCCAGCTTCTGTTTTAGTTGCTCATTGGATGCGTGTAATTTACTCTCCACGGCGCGTATGTCACAGCATTGCAACGTCAGCTCGGCATCCAATTTCTCAATTTGTTGCAACACTTCACGTTTCGTTTGGTAGGCACGTTTCACTTGATGTTTTCGTATTTTCGCATGCAACTTCACCAGCAGCTCCTCTTCCCGCTGCAGTTGTTTGTTCAGGGCGTAGATCTTTTCCAGCCAAAAGAGTTCTTGCTCGTTATCTTGACAGTCCGCCGATGGTGGCTCATTTGTCTCGGGTTTTCCGCTAGGCGAAAGGAGACCTCTTTCTCCGACACCTCCGGTGAAGTCTCCTCTGAGTTTCTTCGAATGACGTGCGTCCAAATTGAAGTCTCTTGTTTTGCTGGTTGTTAGCACATCTTTTCTCGTTGTTTTTGTTCCTGTTGGTTTATGTACTTTGGTTGTTTTTGTTATGCGCTCATACTGTTCGTCTGTGTAGTGGGAGAAAAAAGAGGAAAATTTCTATTGAGTCAATTGAAGAGAGATAATGAATGAGTGTTTTGGAATGTTCATATGTTTATGTATTATATGTAAACAAACGTATAAATGTATTTATTAAATGGGAATATTTCTAAAAAAAATTTTAGTATTAATTTTTGTATCAAAAATGCCTCCCAAGAAATAAAAATATTTTGATCAAAAAAAAAAAAAAATTAAAAAAAAAAATAAAAAATTAAAAAATATTAAACATTCTGAAATATTTATGTTAAGAAAAATAAAAAAATTATAACACAGTACGACAAAATCAAATTTATTTTGAGTTCACATGAGAAATGTAAACAAAATACGAAATACCTAAGGGGGAAAGCTGGTCTAGAGCGCAAAAAAATGGGCTTATTTTATGAACTTATTTTGCCTCAACAAAGGAATCAATCCAAAATCTGTGAAATAGGTTTAATAATATAGGTTTCATGGTATAAATACAAAATTTTTGGTGTGAATTAATTTCAAAATGGCCGCTGTCTAGCATATCTCCAAAGACGCATTTTTTTCTAATGGGTCCATGGCCGAGGACGTAAACTCCTTAATTTTTGTCCGGGATCAAAAAATATTTTTTTTTTAGTTTCTAGCAAGAGACGTACGAGGGATTTTTTCTATATTTTTTTTCGCGAAATGATACACGTTTAAACGAAAAGTTACAATTTTGACTATAAAAAACGATATAAAATTGTTGATTAAAAAAAATTAGGTAAAATAATAAAGTCTTACGTACATCTTCGGAGAACGGTATTTTGAATGTACTGTCACAATTTCGTAAGAATCGGTAAAAAGTTGTTCGAGTTATGTCTTCGGCCAGTTTAAAAAAAAAAAATCGAGGAAAACGCGTTTAAAGTTGTAGTTCGCTCGGAGCATTCCTGCGAGGCACTGCCGTCGAATGAAAAATTTGGGCATTTAGACATTTTTGCCGGCATCCATCTTTTGGTATGTTATTTCTAAGACCCTAAACCACCTTTTAAGACAAAAAAAAATTTTCGATTTTTTCAAAATTCTTGACCAGCTCCCCCCCTATAATAAATAAATCCATGAGTGTCTCGGCGTTTTGCTGTAGCGCGTCAGAATTTTTAGAAAACCGATATATAAGCTTCAAAGGACCATGCAGGTTCCAATCAATGTCGCACAATACAGTAAGTAAGCCTTTTTGAAAATAAAAATCTTATTTTCCAGCAAAAAAATAAATGTTTAAGCGAGGAATTACATTTGATAAAAAAATATAATGTATAGGGTTTTCCAATAAGCGTGATTTGATTCCTTGAAAAAAGCACACCAGTTTTTAAGGAAATTAAAGCGTTTTTTATTTAGTGTGAAGTGCAATCGATACAATCAAGTTCGAATGTTAAGTACTTTTTCCAGTAAATCAAGTTCGTTCAGTATTGACTTTTAAAGCTTGAGGACAGTCTGGTTTATTGCCAAAGATCAATGACTTCAAATAACCCCACAAGAGTGAATCTAATGGTGTTAAATCACAACGTCTTGGAGGTCACTAAATGTCACAATTTCTTGAAATAATCGGAACTCCAAACCTTTTGCGCAATAATTCGGTGGTTGCATGTGCTATGTAACACATAGCCCCGTTGTGTTAGGACCAGTTGTTGTTGAGATCAACTTCTTCCAATTGTGACCATACAAAGTTGGTTATCGTCAATCTGGACCGCTCTCTATTGACAGTAGAAGTACGGACCGTACCACTCAAATAAACTTGTTTTCAAGTGTCATTTTATGTAAGCGTTATTTTTGTGCATATCTTGCCACGATGAGTTTGTAAGCATTATTAAAAACAAAGAAAAAATTAATGCAGAGTATGACATATTAAAAATGGACAAAATGACAATTAAACCTCTGGAAACCTCTTTATATGTGCATGATATAAAAAATGTACATTTTTGTAATATATATATATGATACTAGCTATACCATGCAACGCTACGCTATGACACATAGTCCTTTCAACATAATTTTATTTACTCATAGCCTGTGGGTATACAACACTTCTGGTTTAACCATCGACTATGCAAATAAAATAGTTATCTGGCTTACCAAACCTAGCACATGCAACATACAATTGACCAAGTGCGAAGCAAACCATATTTAAATCTGATCACATAATTCCATTGATTCACCCTGAGCTTTGTTGATAGTGATTGAAAACACTAGTCGAACAGCGAACTCCAGTCGCTTGAACCGTAAGGGAGTATCGAACGGAATGTTAGGGATTTGAAGAATAATGACGGCGTATTTGCCTTCGTTGCAGAGTTTCTGCTCATTTCTATTACGTAGCATTATAATGGGCACACCGATTTTCAAATTTAATACATTTCTATTGACGCTGTTGTTGATCGAGGCACTGAAAAAATTGAAATATGAAAAAATTTCGGACGGTCGGCCACATTTTGAGAAAGATATGTGCATATATTTTACATATTATTTTTATCTACCTATTTGTACAATATAAGCGGGTTACTGTCCTGCACCAAAAAAGATAAAATTAATGATATAATTGCCTCGATGTGAGCCACATGCACCTTTCGGATCTATACTTATTCACACTGAAGTCAAACTCAAAAACTCGTAACTGCATAATTAAAAAAATTAAAAAAAAAACGAATAACACCCCGAAAAAGAAAATTACCAGCAAAAAGTACTATTAATGCGACTTTTTCACAAAACTTCACCTCTTTGCCGAACCGTAAGTACGATTTTTCGAAAAAGATACCTTCTCATATCGAACCACAAATACACTTTTTTCATCTCCGCTTTCGGTTTCTTCAAATCTTTTGTTAAAAATTTATGTATCGTGTGTGGAAAATTTGCAATTATGTCTAGTCGGTGTAAAATTAATGTTAAAACGTCTGAATTATATCAAAAAAATTTTTCGGAAAATGTTTTTCGTGATGTAGATTGGACGCCATCTACTGATGTAAAGATGGAGCTGCTATGCCATTTGGTTTTCCGACGTTTTGGGAAGATTCATAAGTGCATCATTCTGTGAAATGTTATTCCCGGTACAAAAAAAACGAAAGGATACCTCTTTGGTGTATATCAACAACATATTTTAAATTATCACTGCCGTATTTGGAAGAAATTCTTTTTCCCAACATTCCAATCACTGGCTAACTCGCAAGCTTTAGCAATAGAGTTGAAACAAATACAGGGTGCGGCATCTGGATGTATTCGATTTCAACATTGAATAACTCCGCCAATTTTCAGCCAATTTTCACAAATGAACAAGATTTTTTTACGATATTCTATGCCATTTATTTCACCCCAGGTTTAGAATACAACGTCGATGAAATGACCACCCCTATTTGATACACAAAAAGCAGCTCTTTTGCGGTTATTCTGCATAACATTGGCCAGCAGTTCGGGTGATATCGCAGCTATTTTAGCTCGTATATTAGCTTTGAGTTCGTCAATGTTCTTCGGCTTGCTGGCATAAACTTTACTTTTTAAATATCCCCACAGAAAAAAGTCTGGTACCGTTAAATCCGGAGAACGAGGAGGCCAAATCACCATTTTTTGAGATAACGCGTCCTGGGAACTTGCTCTGCAAAAACTTGATCATAGCGGCTGCGGTGTGGCAAGGTTGTTGAAAATAAAAGATTTTTAGACCTTTTTTCTGCATTTGTGGACAGACAAAGTACGCCGAAATCCATCGGTAGCGTGCACCGTCAATGGTCTCTCCAATTTTGAAGAAATAAGGCCCGATTTTCAGCGCGTTGTTTCGGTGTGTATCGACTCATAGCTAAAATGGCACTAAATGACGTTTCAGAATTGTGTTTATCTGTCAAAACCGGCTGAAAAATGGCGGAGCTATCTATTCAATGTTGAAATAGGATACATCTAGATGGCGCACCCTATAAATATTTTGGCACACAATTTGAATCTTAAAAAAAGAATTTTAGATTCATAATCTCTGACTCAAACCAAACGGGGGCAGTGAGTTTAAAGTGAAATCGAAGCCATTCGATTCAGAAAACAATGTTAACAAATAAATAAGTCTCATTAAGCCAAAACAAAACACAAAATGGCGAAGCTAGATTTGAAAAACGAGATGTAATCAGAAAATAACCGTTAATTTCAAATTTCGTGAGTTACGTATGTGCGATTTTCGATTTTTCTCTGTTATGTTGGATTGTCTATCTGTTTTCGACACATAAAAAGGTCAGTCGTGTTTTGGTGAGCTCTTCGATTTTTTACCATTCGAAAAAATGGTTCGAAGAAACTGTATTAAGTTTTGTGTAAAAAATGAAATTAAATGGGTACAAATGTTTGAAATATTGACTGTGGCGCTTGGCGAGTTTACTATGAGCAGAAGACAAGTTCAATTTTGGTATAACCGACTTAAGGAAGGCCGAGAAGATGTCAATGACAATGCTCGTGCTGGTAGTCAAAGCACGCCACCAACCGATGAAAACATTGAAGCAGTGAAGAAAATGATTTTGCATAATCGCAGAATCACTATCAGAGAGATTGCTGATGATGTTGGCATATCGTTCGGCATATGTCAAGCAATTTTTACGGATGTGTTAGGCATGAAACCTGCGGCAGCAAGGTTTAATCAAAAATTGCTTGGAGATGTTGAGCATCGTCAACGACGATCCAGATTACCTCAAAGTGTCATAACTGGTGATGAATCAAGGGTGTATGGCTATGACATTGAAATAAAAGCCCAATCATTTGAATGAAAGCGTCCAGAAGAGCCAATACAGAAAAATGCACGAGAATTTCGGTTAAATGTGATGGTTTTGCTCACAGTTTTCTTCGACTGGAATGGCGTGGTGCATCAAGAATTCTTGCCAAAAGGTCGCACGATCAATACTACCTAGAAGTTATGCGGCGTTTGCGCGAAGTAATTCGTCAGAAACGCAGAGAATTGTGGAAAAAACAATCAGAGATTTTACACCATGATAACTCATCAGCTCACACATCGATG